TAATTTGTGTAAATAAATCCAAAAGCACTTCCCTTAGTTAAGATATTTACAATTTGAAAACATAACCTAAAATTTAAAAGAAATGCACTAGATTCTGTCATAAAAGTTGGCAGATTTTGTTTGAATTTACCTTCAGTACAAAAATGAAATAACCAACAATTAATAAAAACGCCAAATTGACAATTTGCATTGTTAATTTTGTCATTTTTGTAATTAAGCTAAATTTAAACAATGCTTGGCAACTTTTTTGAAAGATTTTAGAAACAGTTGTTACCAACCATAACATAGTAAATCCACCAGATTAACCTAAAGTTCCTAGTCGATCAGTGGCGTACTTTTTGGTAGGATAAAGGTTATTATAAATTATTTTTAGACTTTGGAATTTAGAAAAAAAAAGTTTCAGGTGCTTCTTTATGGACCCTAAGGAACAACCCATTTTAACATTAATTACATAACACCCTGTATATATTTATTTCTTCTATGTTTATGATATCCTTTTTCTATGTTTATATATCCTTTTTCTATGTTTATGATCGTTTGACTGAATTTTTTCAGATTGGCTGTATCTTGTTAGAGAAACCATGGTTGTCACAGTCAATGGCAATCTATCTAAAGTTTAAACATATTTTCCTGCAAGAAAATTTTCAAACTGCAAAATATTTGAACCCGGCCTTTTGACAGCCGCACGTTGTGCCGCATTGATTCGTACACCAGCACGAAATAATTTCGAAAAGTCTGTAAATGGCTTAAACTCTAGCCCCCCTATTTTGGATCTAAAACATTTGTCTGCGCCGATTCTGTAGGTGGTAAAATAGCGAGAACGGATTTGACTTTTTCGATTCGTTCACGAGAAGAGCTTCAATCAAAAATAATCTAGATATAATTTGTTAATTTCTTTTTTATAAATTTATTTTTCATTACGCTGAAGCGTAATGAAAATGTTTTACCCTGACGCTATATTATTGTAGCCAGGTTTCTTTGATTTAAAAAGATATAACGGTTTCAAGAGGTTACAACCCTAATAGGAAAAACATTTTGATTACACTATATGGAGAAGAAAGCACAAAAAACAACACTAGATCATTTCCGGCTAAATATGTTCTCGCTCACGAATGCTGAAAATTAAATCCAATCTCGCTAATTTGTCACCCACACAATCACCGGCTGAACATCATTTTTTTCGAACATATCATAAGATTTAGGCATAGCTGGGTAAAGAGTAAAGCTAAAAACGTTAATGACTTTAGGAGGGACGGTTCCATCATCACTTGGCCGCGGCGCAGCCAGCAGCTGTCGAAAAGCCGGTTTAAAATGTTTTGTAGTTTGCAAAGCGGGAAAAATATGTTTAAATGCTTGTTTCAAAAATTTTACGTAATAATTTAATTTCTTAATTTGTATTGTGCAATATACGGGGGCCGAGGTATTCACTAAAAACTGAAATGTATTTTTGCGTATATCTTTGTAAAAAAATGTCAGTTGGTGCAAGGTTGCTTATATGCTTTTTAAATAAGCCCCTATCAAATCATAAAAAACACAGACAGTGCCTCAGCACCCAAGGAAAAACGACGGTTTGACTGGACTAATATTCCTATGCTTAGATTTGACAAATAAAAATGCAATAGAAATTTAAAAGTTAAGTTAAAACAACAATGAAACAAAAAATAAAGAATTCAAAAAATTAATGAGAAATATTTCCATTACCCAAAAATTAATGAGTAATGCCGAACAATACATTAGGTACACTTTTTGTATTATTTGATATTTTTTTTAATTAAATTATGAGTATGAGTATGAGTATGGGAACGTATGGCAAGCCCCAGATATATTATCATCCACTGATCTCCCGGGGTTATATTACCCCCTTTCCGTTCTCCTGCGTATCCCGCCAAATCACAGCATTACCTGTGTTTGTTGGATCCGAAGTTTTTACGCCGGCTGGTAGATGCACCCTAGGAGTTCGTGGATGACAGTGTCAAAGGTTAAGGCAGCTCCCGGGATTTTTGTCAGCCGGGTCGGGCCATACGTCCAGTTTAGGAAGGGTTTTTGGAGGACATTGAACTGACCCAAAACTAAGTACAATCCGGAATCCTCCTCAACCTAGGCCTTAGTAGTATCCCCATTCAATTGGTATTCGTGAATGGGGGTGGGTATGTTAGTTTTTTGCTTACTCCGGCTACCAGCCTTGTATATTCTTTATTTATTTTATTGCTATTATAATATAATATAATATTATAATATTATAATATTATAATATTAGTGTTCATACCGTTTTCATTTATTTATATCTTTGCCTTAATTAATTTAAAAATAAAAATATTAATATACAAAATAGATAAAGCCGGCCCTGTGGTGTATCGCATCAATATTTTAAACCCGGCCCCTATGTCAGGCGTGCAACGCATGCCTCAATAGATGGCCTACCACTTCATTTTCACGTGGGGGCTTTGCCCATTTACTTTCTCCATCCTCCAAGCTTTGCTTGCGTGAGCTTATGTGTATATTATATAATATATATAATACAATAATATAATATTGCGACGCACCCACTTGATTTCCCTTCTCACACGCACGCTGCCCTCTGCAATGGTCAATTGTTGCCTGGTTTCCTGTTAAATTAGTATCTATATAAATTCAATATAAATATCAATTAGTCAATACCAATACTAATACCAAATAATAAAAATAATCAATACCAATATCAACCAATCAATCAATTAATCAATATTAACGTTAATATCAGTATCAACCAACTAATCAATCAATATTAATACTAATATCAATATCTATAATGCCAATATCAACATCAACACCAATACCAACAATATACCATCAATACCAATACCAATACGATTATATCCATATCAATCAATCAATTAATTTATTAATTAATTAATTAATCACTTTATGTAAATATCAATCTTCAAAATAGAGCCGGCCCTGTAGTGCATATAGTGGAATGCGGCCTTATAGCCTGCTTGGCTCTTGAGTTCTGTGTATTAGTTTGGCTTTGATTTATGAGTGTGACCCTAAATTTATTTATGATAAATTTTTGTCTTCTTGCTTGAATTGGTTTATTTGCTTACGCCTTTTACGCTGGTTGTTTACGTTTGTCTACTATGAGAAAATTAGGTTAACAGTTACGGAAATGTTCTTATTATTTTTTAAATTTTTTTAATTAAATTAATGATTACAAAAATAAAAAGTATTTTTTACCTATTTGTTTTCAAGGTATTAAAATTATTTTTCTACTCCCACCTTTAAAACGCCCTTGATCGTACATGTTTCCATGACACTAAGTGACCTTTTAAATACACATTGACAGGTTGTGGCTTTATGGCTCTTTAGTCATTAAAATAAAGTGCCTTTCTTTTAAAATAATACTAAATGTGAAAATTATTTTATTATCTCAATACAAAAATAAAAAAGTATTAAATAGTTTCTCAACGCCAATATTTTTATATAAAAATTTGACATTTGAAGGTGACACGCATTGTTTCATAGATGGCGCTCTATACAAATTTTTGATTTAAATCATTTTAGGATAATAATAAGTATTTGTCGTAGAAAAAGTATAGTATGCACCTCGTTTATAAACTTTTCTATACACTCATTAATTTAAGCACTCGCTCGCAAGCACGCTCGTGCCTAAATTAAATTCGTGTATAAAATGGCGTTTATACAACATACATAATATACTATTTTTTAATTACTAAAAAACAAATTAATACCTAAATATTATATATGGTATTTCCATTGTAACGGGTGCGACACTGACACTGCGTTTTTTTCAGGATAATAAAGTATTTGTTCAGATATATCAAGATACGTTAATATACAAAAATTGATATTTAACTAAAAAATATGTCAATAAAAACTTGTATAGAAAATTTAGTAATAATTTTTTGTTTAAAACTTGAATAGTAACCTGAAACATGCACGCATTTTAAATGCACCAATATTGTATACATTATTTTCTAAAATTATCTTAAAATGTAACGGGTGCGACATTTTAACTTTTTATCGAGTATTTAAACTCTTTCGTGTTTATATTATTAAAAGTTATAAATTACGTCGCAATTAAACTATTTAACTTCAGATATAGTTTTTTTTGTTAAATCATACATCTGATTTTTTGTCAAGGTGGGGTAAGGTTTCGCGGAAATACTCTATAATAATAATTATAATAGTAATAATATTAATAAAAACACTGTGCAAGTCTAAAATTCCGTGTTTCATGCAATGGACAATTTTGGTGCTCCACTATCAGAGATTACGTGGTCATATTAATTTTTAAAGTTAACTGATTTTTTAAATGTGAATATTTTGGCCTGACCCCTATGCGTCAAAGTCGATTTTTTACTAAAATGCCCTCAATAAACCTACTGATCTGCTATGAATTTTTTAATTAACTACCTATAATATAATATTTGTCCCTATTATAGGGCTTGGGCTCATTTTATTAAAACAACGACTTTGGGCTAAGGGCAAAATATTCACATAAAAATGGCAACAAAATGAATATGACCACGTGATCTCTCATAGTGGAGTAGTTCCATTGGATGAATATGGAAAAAAGAGTTTCAAAAACTACCACTGTATCATGTATATTTCATGTTAAGGGGTTGTAATAGCATTAAGGGATAAACAAATATTCGCCAAAGCTATTCCAAAAAAATAAATTTGACGACGTTTTCGTTGGACTTCCTTAATTCAGTGCAATAATATGTATAAGTTCTATTCGTCGTGTTTTATCTATTAACAATATTTGTTATCATCATTGTTACATGGACAGTAAAATAAAATTAACGGTAATGCAGACAGCATAGCAATGGAATTGGCTTACTGAGAAGTACTTATTTTTTTAAAATTCAAAAATGGGAAAAGACAAAATCAAATTAGAATTTTGTAAGGAATTCGTTAAAATTATTTCTGGTTGTCGTGTAAAACCCCGTATAAATAACCAGTAAATATAAAATCTAACTAAAGTTAATACATTTTAGCCTCTTTACAATAGTTTAAAATCAATGCTCGATTATAACAAACCCGATTTTGAGGATGTGTTTATGCAAACATTTAGAATAAGTTACACAGATGTTTTTGGATCCCTTATAACATATGATTTAAAAGATAATGGAGATGAAATAAGTGTAACTCTAGAAAACAAATATGTAAGTATTAGTGCATATTAAATCAAGTATTATACACTCTCTAAAAATGAATTAGTCAAAAATGACTAATTGTCATATCGAAAAAGCAGCCACTAATAATTCTCGTCAAAAGCAATTTGTATCCCAAACATTTAACCAGTCAATTTCTATGTAAAATGATCCCCTCAATCCGAAAATATCTTCAAAAGTTAGTAATGTAGAACAGTTTTTAAGATATAGTAAATGTTTCATATAATATGGAATTGATTATATCTCAAAAACTGTTCTACTTTCAAAATTTTTGACGGTATTTTCAGATTCATGAGACAATTTTACATAAGAGTTGGCTATTAAATGTTGGATATACCATGGTATAAGTGAAAAAGCTGTCACTGTAGTAATTTTCATCATATATCATAATCATATTTGACTAACTCATTTTTAGAGAGCAGGGTGTTTTTTAATTGCATGTACCAGGGTTTTATCCTTGGCCGCTTTATTATAAATAAAAAAGTAACAGACTATATAAAAAATTTTACACATTAGATGTGTATATTTTTTAGTTTGACATGTTTCCTTTGTAATTTTTGGTGATAGATTGGTACAATTTTGATATGTACGGTTCACTTAAAACAACGTGTTAAACTTATTTTGAAATTTAGTTTTTTATAAATAACAATTATAGCAGATTTCCTGATTATTTTTATATAAGTAACATAATTTATGAGATAACGCCAGAAATGTGGTTAGATGTCATAAAAACTTTCAGCAAAAGAGTTGAAGGTATCTATTGATTTTTATGTTAAATTATTACACAGTGTAGCAATTAAAAATATAGGTCCAATGCCAAATTAAAGTAGACCAATAGACAGAAAGGGTTTAATGATATTAGTTTCCATTTCCACTTTTTTTTGGCCTCTTAAAGTCGCATTCTTTGTGACCAAGTTTTCGACTGTTTGGGACTTGTAAGTTAATTAAATAAATGAATTAATAAATTAAACAAGTGGAATTAAGTATTGTATCATTAAAAGAAAGCGAAATATTGTAAATCCTGACCAGTGGAGGATCCACGGGGAGTTTTCGGGTTCGGACACCCCTCCCTTGGGAATCAGAAAATCCAAAATTTATTATTTATTTATATTATTATTGACTCTTCTTCTTAAAATGTATCCGCCCTGATCCTGACATATACAGTGTTTCCTAAGTATACTTCAGGACATAATTTCGATATTCTAAGAAAAAATCGTAAAATTTGCATTTTTTAACCGATTTTCATAAACTTTTTTATTTGGATAGATCTCTAAAAAAGGCTTTAAACGCATATATCACTTGTTTTAACGACTAAACTCATGGCCAACTGTTATCTCTTTTTGGGGTCGAACCTCACAAAACATTTCAACGTCGACATGAACGTTGACATTCTTAACTGCCTACGATGACTTTAATTTGCAATCATTTAGCTTTGTCGGGTATCTTAACCCAAATAAGATTTTGACGGCCCAGAACGTCGACATTTTCGTCAACATGCCTCTAATAACATTATTTCCCAATGATTTAGCTTGGTTTAATATCCTCTACTTATATTACAGTCGTAATCATACTCTGATATATTTTTTTATATTGAAAATTGACATTTAGATTTTGTTGGCACAGCATGGCATAAATAATACTGGGCCGTAAAGTGACTGACATTTGCACCGACATGGTTTGTAGGGAAATTTCAATAAGTACTATTAGAGCAAAAATAACCACGGATTCTTATTCGGGCACACTTAAAACCCCTCTATACCAATTTTTGATCGTTTTTAAATACTAAACATTCTTTAATTTTTTGATAACAAAAATCTTGAAAAGTACTTTAAGGGAAACATTCAATTTTCTTAGTTTCTTTAAGAAACTTGCTTGACCCATCACTGGTAATATTCATAAGAAAAAAGTTGCATAGTATGTACCGATTGCGGCAAAGGCCATGTCGTTTGACGGTGTGGATCACCTGATGTTCTTACATCTCGCCTCTGTTGACTTAACAACCGAGCATTTAAGCTAAGGGAGTCCTTTGTTTTGATTGTGTTCCACTACACCAAGTTGCCCGACACTGATGAGACCCAATATAGGTCGAAACAGCTGTCTGTCGGTATTTGAAGTTGGTGGAACGCATTCAAAACAAAAAACTTTGGCGAGGTGTAGGTTCAATTTTTTCGTATTTTAAGGGTTTTTTTTTAGAGCAAAAGCAACCACGGATTCTTATTCCGAACCACTTAAAACCTTTCTATACCAATTTACCAGCTGGGCATTGTTTAATTTTTTAAACCTTATAGAAGTGACGTGAATAATAACATTTAGTGGATATAGCAGGGACAACCTGTATTTAAGAGCGATAAGGGGTTTTAAATGGTCCCGAATAAGAATCCGTGGTTGCTTTTGCTCTGAAAAAAATCCCCTAAATTTCGACCCCAATGTATACAAAAATCTTCCTAAAATAAAAGGGCGCTGCTGTTCTGTTGATTGTTTGATTTGTACCGAAACTCTACCAAAACAGCAGACATAAGAACGCATCGACAATCACCGCCGCTGGTGGTAAAAATACAAGACCTAATTTGTGCAATTTAGTGGACAGGTTTTGTCAACTTCCCCTATAAGTTCGGACTCCTTGTGTAGGCTCCATGGTTTTGTGCGTGTCAATTTAATACCTATGATTGATAGGTTATGCCGCTGTGCTCGCATGCCAACTCAGACTGGCATTAATGTTTTGCAACAGAGTTGGTCTGGATTTTTTTCATAAATCGATAGGGGCTTATTTAAAATGCTGAAACCAAATTTGCACCACATGACATTTTTTTAAGATGTAGGTACTCTTAAATAATTATTTTTAGTTTTTAGTACCTAAATATAATTTTTTTTGTAATTTAAATGTTTTTTACTAAACAAATAGGTTAAAAAATGTATGTAGTTAGTTAAACTGATAAATTTGTTTGGGGCCATTTCAAGCGCGAGGGTCGGCCAAATTACAAAACTGTTTGTATAAAAAAATTGTAGGTCATTTATTTTGCAAGGTATCCCAAAACTACTACAATACAGGAACTTTGGAAATACGAGGTCAAAATAATTTGATAAACACAAATATGCTTTGGTAAAATGTTAATAATAAACGAGATACCGCGCGATAAATGTAAAATAATATTTTTGAAAATTTGTTATAATTGGTAAACAATTCAATTTATCAAACTTAAAATTTGTACAGTACCTACCTATAGTTTTTAAGGACAAAACATAAAAATGTTTGATCATTTTCTATGGTACTCCTAGAGGGCGCTAATGACAGAGGTCGAATTGAGGTAAAAAAGTAAGTATTTATTCAACCAATTCGACCTGTGTTATTAGCGCTCTTAAAAACTATACTATACAAATCTTGAGTTTGATACCCACATTAAATTGTTTTCTAAATTACAATTTTTCAAAAATATATCTCACATTTATCCCCTGTATCTTGGCTATTATTAACATTTTACTAATACATATTTGTGTTGATCGACCTATTTTAATCTTCTATTTTTACAGTTGTTGTACTGCCCTTTAGTTTTGTGACGCCCTGGCATCAACATTGTTAAAATATTAATCTTTTATTAGGCTATAGGTACATTAAATAAAAGAAACGCAAGTAATATTTTGTAAAAATAGAGATAATTTGAATAATGGACAGTTGTGTATGGGACACAAAAAATGTTTCTCTTGTTCCGTGACAAAACTTCCGTCCACAACTGTCCATTATTATAGTCGTCGCGGCGAATCTTTCAAATTGCGTCATCAATGTCGAATGTCAAAAACCGATTTCTCGACATACGGTTATCCTAGCGGTTCCTTGGATTATATACTTAAAATAAAACAACAATAATTGTAATCGCCGCCGACAACTATACTCTACTTTTTAAAAATATTTCTTATATTTGATTGATTGATTTGAAGGGAAGCCTTTGCAGGCAGCACTTAGGCACACATACGGCCCATTGTGCAAACCCCCTTTTGGTGAAGCCCTGCCTTACCTTACGAGCCCGCAGCATTATTTCCTCTGGATCCAAATATCTGTCCCCTAGGTGTCTTAGTCTACTATTGACTAGAGCGTCTATATGCTAGGTAGTTTCGTCTACTTCGCTGCAATACCTACAATCCGTCTCGTTGCTGAGTCCGGTTTTGTGTAGGTGGTATTTGACTACCCAGTGTCCTCTTAGGACTCCTGTGATGGCTCTTCACTGGTTCCTGTTAAGTTTCAGGAATCTTTTTGCCTCTTTATAAAGACCCTTGACTGCCCTCACGAGCCAGCTGGTCTGCTTTCTCGTTGCCTTTGATGCCTCGATGACCCGGTACCCAGATAAGGTTAAGGGTTTTTATACAGTCCAGTCTCGAGTTGACCCTTTCTGAGTGAAGAGCCCGGAGTGCTGCTTGACTGTCGCTACATATGTAGATATGTTTACCCGAGTAGCCTCTCTGGAGATTCTCTTGGGCGCATATCAGGATGGCAAAGATTTCAGTCTGGTATACCGTTGGGTATCGACCTAGTGCAAGGCTTATTCTCGCCCCAGGTCGCTCCCCATATACACCAGCTCCTGCACCTTCCTTCATTAAAGATCCGTCTGTGTACCAAATGAGCCCTTTCGGTTTAAGAAAGCCTGGGTCAGGCTCGCTCCAGTCGTTCTGGAAGGGAAAACCACTTTATATTTTCTGAGGGGGGTAGACGTCTTTGACATTGCATCCCTTCTTGTGAGAAGGGGGTCCCGGTTGATAGTCTCAGTCCAGGCCCTTGCATGCCCTGAGTTCCCCCCCCGTGAGTCCACTGTCCCCAATCGTTGAATCTGACCGAGGCCTCCCGAGCCCGTGCCTCCACAAAAAGATGTAGAGGTGCCAGTCCCAGTATGGCCTCCATTGCCAATGTTGGAGTGGTTCTCAAAGCTCCAATTATGCCCATGCAGGCAAATCGTTGGAGCTTGTCCATCTTCTTCCTGTAGGTGGGCTTGCTCAAAGCAGTC